CTCTCAACTCTCCAAGTGCTGTATATGTTTATGTATTTAACCATTTTTAAAGAAATTCTTTTAATTCAAAGAGAATATATTAGTTATTACACTATCACTTTAACAGAAAAATACTACAGCATTGCCTATAGTTAACTAAGAATACCGTTCAACCAATCGAACTCTATAGAGGAAAACAACATCAACCCTTAGTAAAAGTGTTAAAAGGATATCGAATTGTCAATCGTTAATTATAATCTTTAATTAGAGTTGGTCACTTTAAGTTAGGTTTAAAGTTTCTTGAAATCACTTATTAGAAATATTTCCCGGATTTTCTATGATCTGAGTTTTGTTTGTCTATTGATCAGCTGATACGAATGTTGCGCCAATTTCAGAGAAAGTTTTCAAACTTGAAGTTTAAATAAGTTCTATAACATTCTGTGACTTTCACAGCTGTTTCATTCATCCTGTTCTTCTCGGCAGCATATAATTTCATTATCTTATATATTTTTTATAAAGAAAGACATCTTACAATTTTTATTTTATATTAACTGTCGATTTTTATGGAACTGAAAACTTGCCTCAAACCAAAATATCTTTGCAACATGAGATCATGAACCATATTGCAACATGAGATCATGAACCCTATTGCAACATGAGATCATGAACCATATTTCATTTTTTCCAATCATGAATTATATTAGATTTAACATTCAAAGTATAATTTCAAATTTAAATATTTCTTTTGGCAAATATTTCTCATTCTAGCTTTGGGGACATTTTAAAATGTTACTAACCTGTATGGGTCATATCATATATATATACTATGAGTTCCAACCGAAACTGTTGGCCATATGTCAGTTTAGCCATTACGACGTTTTTTTGAAATGAATAAACAAAATTTTCATGCATGTATAAATAGGATCAAGTTCTTCAACATTTAATATATCGACGAAACAATAATATCGCAATATCGCTTGCTTAGCAAATCTATAAAATAAAACTCTTCCCTCATATATATATATATATATATATATATATATATGTTTGCTATAGTAGACCAAACTGGCAGATTTTTTTAGAGAACTCATGGGTACCCTTAGGATTAGATAGGCTAATAAAATCATGGATTTTTTTTTAAATTCCACGCGCAACGCCGGTTACTTTAGCTAATAATAATATAGTATAGTCGCTACCTTCTTCTTTAAAGGTATTAACAACAAAAATACTTTATTTCTCTTTTCGAAGCATATTTTAACAACAATAAATATTACGTCTACGGAACTGATAACAAATCTAATTATAATCCCTTTTCTACTTTTTACGCCTTTAATTTTTCAAACTTTAAATTCTGATAGATCAATACAGTTTAAAACAATCACAGGTTTAAACAATCAGGTAAAGAAGTAAAGTTTATTTAAGTTAAGTTTGTTGTTATCTGATAATTTTGTACATTTATGATAATTACACTACTTAACTACAATTTATACAATGAACATCAAAAAATCTTATTATATAAGATTTTCCAAAAGGTTTTAATTAGGTTTCTTGTAATCATTAAAACTATATAGTTTACTTTTTCACCCAGATTCACCAGTAAACACCTTTTGGGAAAGCAACTGTCATTCAATTTTGAAAGATTTTTTTATCGTGGTTAAATCCAAGATATTTTTTGGACTTTTTCTTTTTGGGCTTAACTGATCTTAAGAATGCGTCAAAATGGGCGAGAAATAGAAATTCATTCATCTTGAAATAAATTTGTGTTTTTCAAGGATGAATTAAAATTTTTGTTGTACAAACATTAATATTAAATAATAATAAAAGGTTAAAGGAAATGAGTTTTTACCACAAACTCAAATTTTTTTATCCCTATATCTTTGAAACTTGATGGTGTAAATCATTGATAATTCAAACTTAGGCTTCTGGTCTAACAGAATTCATAGTTTGAAATATCAAAGATCTACGACATCTGGTTGCGCAGATATAAGGGTTAGAATTTATAGTTTGTTTCAAAAAATAATTTGTTTTATTTTTATTTTTATTTTTTTCGTTGTATTTTACATTTATTTTACGATATTTACTCTAAACTCACAAATTTAAAATTGTTTCCACAAATGTGCTCTAAATATAAAAAAAGATAAAATAAACATATTTTAACGAGTTATTTCTCGCTCTTGAACAATTGTATTTTTTGAAGAAACAGATGTAATTTGTATATTTGTATTTTTGAATTCCTAACCTCACACAACTTTATATGTAAATGCTTTGATAATTATGTAACAAGTAACATGTAATACATTTTTTTAAACGAGCAAACGAGTATAAATATTTGCTTAATACACCTGGTTTTCCGCACTTTTTCTGGCTCTTTGAATTTATTCGTTGCAGATCTCGAAAAGACAATACTGATACGACTTTGTACCCTCGTAGCTCCTCTAGTTGTGTCTCTCTACTGCTGTGTCTCTACAGCCTTGTCTCTACAGCCTTGTCTCTACAGCTGTGTCTCTACAGCTGTGTCTCTACAGATGCGTCTCTACAGCCTTGTCTCTACGGCTGTGTCTCTACAGCTGTGTCTCTGCAGCCTTGTCTCTAAAGCTGTGTCTCTACAGCTGTGTCTCTACAGCTGTGTCTCCACAGCTATGTCTCTATAGCTGTGTCTCTACAGCTGTGTCTCTGCAGCCTTGTCTCTACAGCTGTGTCTCTACAGCTGTGTCTCTACAGCTGTGTCTCTACAGCTGTGTCTCTGCAGCCTTGTCTCTACAGCTGTGTCTCTACAGCTGTGTCTCTACAGCTGTGTCTCTACAGCTGTGTCTCCACAGCTGTGTCTCTACAGCTGTGTCTCTACAGCTGTGTCTCTACAGCTGTGTCTCTACAGCTGTGTCTCTGCAGCTGTGTCTCAGCTGTGTCTCTGCAGGCTGCTCCTGTATGATTGTCAGGAATAATGATGATTTTAATAAAAGTAACAATAAATAAATAAATGAAATTGTAATTATAACAATATGGTTCCAAATGATAACATCATTTAAAATTATTTATTGAGAAGCTGTTAATTCATTTAATGCGCCACTCAATTCATTTAATGCGCCACTTGATTCATATTTCGCGCCCCCTACTCAATATGTCCTAATCAATGAATTTACATTCCACTTTTAAATGCCACATTTACTGCGTCATTTGTTACGTTGAATAGCTTCTGGAAAAATTCCATAAGGCCTTTACGTGCTTTATGTCCTTTATGTCCATTATGTCCTTTATGTCCATTATGTCCTTTATGTCCATTATGTCCTTTATGTCCATTATGTCCTTTATGTCCATTATGTACGGGTCCAAACTAAAACTTTATCCGGAAAAATTGGAAACCCTATCATTTACTCTGCCAATAAATGTGTTTACATGTCACTTAAAGGAACTGTAAGCGTATTTTCAAGTGACCTTCCAATTAAAGGGAAAAATTTCCAATTCACAACGATACCACCCTTTAAAGCCTTGTCCGGACATCGATGTGGTATAGATTTAATTTAAGAATATCTACGAAATCTTTTGTCAAAAAAAAGGTTTTAAGTGTATCGTTTTAAATCGGTTAGGCCAAATGGAAAGTCACTTGAGATTACGCTTGCAATCCCTTTAATACATTTACCCAGTACTAAAAACGTTATATTATTTACCTTGTTGATATAGATATGCTGAGATCTTTGACTTTGAAGCGACATGTTGGGAGACGGACTCAGATTCATTCCTGGTTCAACCAGCTCTATTTCCTAGATACATCTTATAGGTATAGTCAAACTCAATTAGATACATATTCTTATTTTTCATCCTTTAGAAAAAGAAGTGTTGAAAAATGAAATAGATGGACTTCATCCTTTTTTATACTTGGATATTTGAAACATAAAGCCCAACAATAATAAAAATAGAGAGAAGTTGTATTTTATCGGTAAAAATGGGTTCGAAAAATGAGCTCACTGACTGTTTAGTGGACTAATTCCCAATGGTACCCAAACTTTTATCCGATCAATAATGTCAAAGATATCGTCATTTTTCTAGCTTGAAAAGTATTTAATTCTAAAAAAATGTCTCCATTCTTTCCAAAGTAGAATGCAAAGGTTACTTTAAAGAGAATCACAGTTGAAAACAATAAATTTTCAAAAGATCTAAAGACTATTTTCAAAAGATCAAAAGACTATCTAGATCAATTATTTTTGGTGTTTAATGTTGTGACTCGGAAATGCCTCTTATATATTTGAGGTCGCTTAAAACAAAATTTACCGTCCCTGAACTCTAAAATCTGAATCCCCCTTACAATATTTTGCAACATCATTTATTGAGGCTTAGATCTTGTTTGGACATTCTGATATGATCAAGGTACTAATGCAAGGAAAATTAATTGCGGTCACATATAATCTGCGTACACATTGAAACCAGTTCTCTCTGGGCGGAATTTGTAAACAAGAATATATGCTAAGTGTTCGTCTAGTAACCGAGGAGGATTACATTTTAATAATTTTGAAAATTCACATAATAGTTTCCTATCACCAGAATATTTCATAGATTATTTTTGTGTAAATGGATTCCATGTCAGACTGTGACATCCGTCTTGTGCTTACTTTTCTACCCAAAGACAGTAAAATACTATGTTTACTTTTCTGCCCAAGTATTTTTTAATGTTTAATAGAACTTTGCCGAAAGGATCACGTCCAGTTACGTCTCTCCACTAGATGACTCTGTTCTTAAAGGGAAAGCATTCCTAACCCATACCCTGGCCCCGCTCATAAACTTCTTTTTATGAAGATATGACTAATATCAGATTAACTCTAATTTTGAAGTTTTTATTTTTCACTAAACTACCCTTCACCCCCCTCTCTTCATTAAAATAAGTAAAATATTTAACCTGGGCTGGAATGAGATGTCTGGTGAGTCTAGGTATACAGCAGAGAACTAGATTGAAATACTCACGAAACCTAAACATCATCAATAATAATAATAAATGATAGAAAATTAAATTTTATAAGTTTCCATTCTAGATTATTTTAAAGAATAAAAAAAAGAGAAAAAGGGGAACACACTTACAACGGTACTCTTTAAACCTTTGTCTGCGAAAATAAATACGTAGGTATACTTGTTTTTTGACCTGAAATTTGAGAAAGTAAACGAAGATAACTTCCAAATTGCTGCTTAAATAATATGGAGTAAGATATCTTCGCTAATATCGGGCATATTACTTTTTATTTGGGATTGGGGGATAGCTTGAATTTTTGCTGACAGTCCCTTTAATTGTGTATAAATATATTTTGCATGAGGTTTTCGTTAATAAGGGAAATACACATCTTTGATTCAAATTTTTGACGGAATAAAACACTTCTCTGAATAAGAAAATGGAAATATTTGTATTCACTGGAGGCTGCATACTTTACATTCTAAACTAGAAAATTATAATACCAAAAATAGGATAAAATACAATTGATAATCATCAAATGATAAAATAAAAATAATGATAGTAATGAAAGTAATAGTAATGAATAGTAATGATCATAATTCATAATAATGATAATAATATTAAAAATAAAAATAAAACTATTCCAGTTTCCAGTTTATTTCTTCCAGTTTTTTCTTCCAGTTTATTTCTTCCAGTTTATTTCTTCCAGTTTATTTCTTTCAGTTTATTTCTTCCAGTTTATTTCTTCCAGTTTATTGCTTCCAGTTTATTGCTTCCAGTTTATTTCTTCCAGTTTATTTCTTCCAGTTTATTTCTTCCAGTTTATTTCTTCCAGTTTATTTTTTCCAGTTTATTAATGACTTAATTTTCTAGATAATGTGTAAGCTCACGACACGAGTAAAAAAGCAAACTTTACATTAATAACTCTGGTAGGAAAAGATCAGGGTTTAAAAGCTACCTCGGTAATCACTCTCTTCAGATAAAAAGGCAATTGAAATAACAACGATGTTTTACCTGACATTCATCCAGTAGTAGATGAGAGGGTTTACACAGGAGTTCGCCATAGCCAGCCAGTAGAAGAACAAGAACACGTTCCTGATATACGGTTTCCTAAACATATATGTATGTTCCTGATATATAGTTTCCTGAACATAGACGTTCATAATATACGGTTTTCTGAACAGAAACGTTCCTGATATGCGGTTTTCTGAACATAGACGTTCATGATATACTGTTTCCTGAACATACATATACGTTTCTGATAAACTGTTTCCTGAGCATATACGTTCCTGATATATGGCTACCTGAACATACACGTTCCTGATATACGGTTTCCTGAACATATACGTTCCTGATATACGGTTTCCTAGACATGGACGTTCCTGATATACGGGTTTCTTAACATAGACGTTCCTGATATACGGTTTCCTGAACATATACGTTCCTGATATACGGTTTCCTAGACATGGACGTTTCTGATATACAGATTCCTGAACATATACGTCCCTGATATACGGTTTCCTGAACATATACGTTCCTGATATACGGTTTCTGAACTTATACCTTCCTGATGTACGGATTGCCGAACATATACGTTCCTGATATACGGTTTCCCGAACATATACATTCTTGATATATGGTTTCCTGAACATATACGTACCTGATATACAGTTTCCTGGACATAGAAGTTCCTGATATACGGTTTCCTGAACATATACGTTCCTGATATACAGTTTCCTGGACATAGACGTTCCTGATATACGGTTTACTAAACATATCAGTTCAAGATATACTGTTTCCTGAACATATACGTTCATAATATACGGTTTCCTACACATCCACATTCCTGATATACTGTTTTCTATCCGTAAACGTTCCTGATATATGGCTACCTGAACATAAACGTTCCTGATATATGGCTACCTGAACATAAACGTTCCTGATATGCTGTTTCCTGGACATAGACGTTCCTGATATACAGTTTCCTAAACATATACGTTCCTGATATACGGTTTCCTGAGCATTTATGTTCCTGATATGCGGTTTTCCGGACATAGACGTTCATGATATACTGTTTCCTGGACATAGATGTTCCTGATATACGGTTTCCTGAACATTTTTGTTCCTTATATACGGTTCCCTGAACATATACGTTCCTGGTATATGGTTTTACCTTGTAATATTAGGATCATGGTAGGAGTATATCCCTTGTAATGGTAGGGTCGAGGTAGGAGTATAAACCTTGTAATAGTAGGGTCATATGTAGGAGTATATACCTTGCAATAGTAGGGTCATGGTAGGAGTATATAAAGTAAATAAGGTAGGAGTATACATTGTAATTGTTGGATAATGGCAGGAGTATATACCTTTCAATGGTAGTTTCGTGGTAGGAGTATATAAAGTAAACATGGAAGGAGTATATACCTTGTAATAGTAGGGTCGTGGTAGGATTATATAAAGTAAACATGGAAGGAGTATATACCTTGTAATAGTAGGGTCGTGGTAGGAGTATATAAAGTAAACATGGTAGGGTAACCAACAGATTCCGAAGATTACGATCACCGCTACGAACATCTTAACCACCTAAACAACGGGAATTTACAACATATATTTTTCTTATATGAGCAGTATAGTAACCCCAACACCAAGTTAACCTCTGTCATGTATCGGTTAATGTAGAATATTTGAAAGGATATTGGAAAAGTATGTTGGAGTGGAACCAACTCTACTTTAACAGATATTTTATGTGATCTTTCTTCAACACAAACTATGCACAATGATATTTTCTTTTTGATTTACATCAAACACAGTTTGGAGGCAGTCGGAGGGCAAATTTTCAACGGAGGTCGAATATTTTTACCAAAATGATTAATTATAAAAAACACAAAAAAACATTTTTTTGGAAGTTTTTAGAATGTACATTCAGAGGACAAATAATATCTAGACTAATATATATTAGAGAAATAATTTATTCAGCAAGGGGTAAAAGGGGATAACCCTGAACACTTGTTTGATAAGAGAATGAAGAAAAATGGAAGAAGTTTGACGTGAAAATAGAAAAGTTTGGATTAAGTTTAGAAAAGGCAGATGAATAAGTAAAAACAATTTTAAAAAAAGACAAAACTGAAAGATTTATATTCCAAAGGCAAAATACTTGAGTTACGTAGTGAAAGAAGTTACCATTAGTTCTAAGTTATATATAATCCCTTTCTTTAATATCAAAATCTACATATAATTTTTTTCAGAAATAAAACACAGAAAACATAATTTAATAATGAAATTTTTTATGATTTCTAATGATTTTTATTTTTAACAAACTTAAGTTAATGACATTGCTTTGTAAAGAGCTGGTTTTTATATGGATCTACATTAAATAGATTAGCGGGATTCAACTGTTGCTTTGTAAAGAGCTGGTTTTTATGGACCTACATTAAATAGATTAGCGGGATTCAACTGTTGCTTTGTAAAGAGCTGGTTTTTATATGGATCTACATTAAATAGATTAGCGGGATTCAACTGTTGCTTTGTAAAGAGCTGGTTTTTTATATGGATCTACATTAAATAGATTAGCAGGATTCAACTGTTGCATACAAAAAAACAAGCTTTTTATAAAGAAAAAACTTAACATAAAAGTTCACCTTTTGTTTACTTTTCCTTGATTTTCTGAGTGAAGGAGTCTCCTCACCTATCATTGTTCCTCCCCACAGATTCTTCCCCATTCTAAACATAAACATTTAAATTAGCTTGGGAACCCAGCTTCTGCATTCTGAACATAAACATTTAAATATAAACCAACTAGCTCGAGAACCCAGCATCTGCATTCTAAACATAAGCATTTAAATATAAACCAACTAGCTTGGGAACCCAGCATCTGCATTCTAAACATAAACATTTAAATATAAACCAACTACCTTGGGAGCCCAGCATCTGCATTCTAAACATAAACATTTAAAATATAAACCAACTAGCTTGGGAGCCCAGCATCTGCATTCTAAACATAAACATTTAAATATAAACCAACTAGCTTGGGAACCCAGTCTCTGCAATCTAAACATAAACATTTAAATATAAACCAACTAGCTTGGGAACCCAGCTTCTGCATTCTAAACATAAACATTTAAATATAAACCAACTAGCTTGGGAACCCAGCTTCTGCATTCTAAACATAAACATTTAAATATAAACCAACTAGCTTGGGAACCCAGCTTCTGCATTCTAAACATAAACATTTAAATATAAACCAACTAGCTTGAGAACCAATTGCTACACCATAAATTAACTAAACTATCTAAAAGTTATCCTACTCAACCTAAAATTGTTAAATTAATCTGAGAACATTTAGGCTTCAAACATATAGGGATTAGAAAATTTTAGATTTTGGGTTTAATTCCTTTGTTATCTTTAGCCGGCGTACCACGCAGAGAGAACTATTTTTAAAATGTTCTAGCCGCAGTCAGGACCTAACCTTGTGTAGCAGACACCCATACAGGTAAGTGGTATGATGTAGGTTCCAACAAAGAAAGCAATATTGTACCTGGAATAAACACATAGAGAAATAAATAAATATATAAATAGATAAATAAATAGATAAATAAATAAATAAATATATAAATAAATAAATAAATAAATAAATAAATAAATAAATAAATAAATAAATAAATAAATAAGTATAGTAAAAAAAATATTTATATATGATAAACAAATAAACAATTTGAAGAATTAAATTTCGAAGTTCCGCATGTTCCATATATTGATAATCAGAAGTATTCGCTGCTATTTATCTTTGAGGCGAAATATTTTATTTTTTCGAAATTTCCTTCCGTGTTACTGTTGCGTAAATCCGCAAGTAACTTTTATCTCGTTAAATCTCACAATTTTTGTAAAGAAAAATATGAATATCTCGTACATCCTTCATCAGAGAATAACGTTTATGGAAAGGGTTGGATAAGTAACTCCAAAAAGTGAGGGCCATTTTTATGAGGGAAAAATATAAAAAGAATTTGCGCTTATTTTAAACTTGTTCTTAAACTTCAACAAACATGTCTAAAAAATGCTCTGAACTATTTAGGGGGGGGGGGGGAAGGGCTGAGATCTCTATTGATGGTAAAATTGAACTAATTGTTTATCCTGTGGGATCGAAGCCATGTAGGGATAACTACAGAAGTGAAACTAATGCACGAATCCCTTAAATTAAAATATCAAGACTTGAAGCAAAGTTTTAAAAATATTAAAAGAATTTTAACTTACACGTAGTCAAACAATGATTCTCCTTGAACACCATCAGGGAATATTATCAGGCAAAGATGTCGGTTCTGCTCAGCTGGCCTAGTAAAGCAATCAATTAATAAATTCATTAATCAATTAATCAATTAATTAATCAATCAATTAATTAAATAATCAATTAATCAATTACTAATCAATTACTAATCAATTAATCAATTAATTAATCAATTAATCAATTCAAGAAATCTATCAAGAAATCTATTAATCAATTCAAGAAATCTATCAAGAAATCTATTAATCAATCATTCAATCAATCAATCATTCAGACAATTCATCATTCAATCAGAGTGAACTAATTAGATCAGAGGAAGGGGGAATGATTAAGGAGAAGGGGGAATTAAAAATTCGGAGGGGGAATTCTATGGTGAGGTGGGATTGATTGGATGGAGGTGGGATTGGATGGAGGTGGGATTGGATGGAGGTGGGATTGGATGGAGGTGGGATTGGATGGAGGTGGGATTGATTAGTGGGGGGATTGTTTTGTCTAGGGAGGGAATTGATAAGGTACAGACTATGACTGATCTAATCAAAACTAATGTGAAAATTACCACCTGCTCTCAAATATTTATACAAAAATATTATGTATTAGAATTTAGAATACAAAAATCTACCATATTTATTAATTTCTTTTATTTTTTTATTTCTTGACACTAAAGACTAAAACTTCAGTTTCTCGGGAGAAAATATCAAAATTCAATATTGAAAGATGACTTTAATTTGAAATTGCAAGATGAATTATTTAATAATTTCACTACGCAGCAGTGACGACGCAAATATTGTGAAATATATAAATTTTATATGAAATAGATTTTAAGAAATATTAGATTGAAAGATAAAGGGACTGGAGAAGACACTTGAAGTGACTCTTCATTTTGAAGTGGTATGTCTGGTTTATGGTATCCTTTCAGCCTTTTTCTGATAATCAGTATTTTTCTTACTTACATTTGAGTGTAAACATTATCACACATATAGTGTGCAGAACAAACTCAGAGAAAATTTGACTTTACATATTTTACGAATATATGTGTCCGACCAACATAAAAAATGATATTTTTTGAATAATATAAAACAGATTGGAAATAAAAATTTATAAACATTTTCAAGCATTTCTACAGATAAAGCTGATTTATCCTTTTGTCAGCTTACCCAACTAAACTTTTTGATAGATTACCATAGAGATGGGAAAAGAACTTACCCAAAAGAACTTCTTAATAGAGCACCATAGAGATGGTAAAAAAGAGCTTACCCAACTGAAACTAACTCTGCGTAGATACCCGCTGGCGAGGCTATAACGACGCCAAGAACCCAGATCAGTAAGATGCACAAGATCAGGCTTGTGTGGGATTTCTTTGGTGCCAGTGGTGTCATGATTGCCTAGAAGAGAAGAAAAATAATTGAGATTGATGTTGCAGCATCTCAAATCTCGAAGACTGGGCAAGTAGAGATACGTGTTGCCATCTAAAAGAGATATGAAACAAAGGAAATCTAAAACCTAAAAACTGATGTGAGTAAATCTACGGAGTATAAGAAAAAATGTATGTACAAGTAAAATTAACAACTAAATGATATTAATGATTTTGGAAAGCCAGAGCTCTCTGCCAGACTCTCCGCCTTTCATTCGCCTCGTTCGACGAGTTTATCTGAAGGGTTTACATCAATGGAACCATCCAATCTGAGTTTAGCTCCGGGTTCGTATGAGAACTGAAGGGGTTACATCAATGGAATTATCCCTATTCCAAGCTATTAAGCGTACACCGGTTACAATAGTTTCTATCTATTTTTTTTGTTGCAAGGTTTTAACACATTTTAATTCTTTCATTATCCAAACACAAACAATACTTATTTGATAAATAAAAAAAATTCTAACACTTTCCAGACAGACAATTTAATCTCAATAGTACAGTATCTTGTCTGTAACGTTTTTTAATCAGACTTCTGTCAAATTCAGAAGCAAAATGCAATTTTAACATTAACATTATTTTTGGCATCCTACATAATCATATGAAAAAGGAAATAATAAACATTTAGCGAATTTTGTAAAGTGTCTCCGAAGTCTCATCCTTTGTGGTAAACATTTTATATTCCGTGTAAAAATGTATAAAATTGTTTAAATGCCATGAGCTCCCTATCTTAAAATTGAGTTCCCATCATTATTTTTTTTAAATACCGTAAAAAATAAAGTTTGAACGTTTTGATCACTGCTTGATAAAGATAAATATTATCATGAAAATGAAATCGGTTAATAAAAACGGCCACGGGCATTTAGAAATCAAATCAAATTGTTACAATGTTTTATTCGCATTGAGCATTCATATTGTTCTCTGTTTGTGCATTTGTATTGTTCTCTGTTTGTGCATTTGTATTGTTCTCTGTTTGTGCATTTGTATTGTTCTCTGTTTGTGCATTTGTATTGTTCTCTGTTTGTGCATTTGTATTGTTCTCTGTTTGTGCATTTGTATTGTTCTCTGTTTGTGCATTTGTATTGTTCTCTGTTTGTGCATTTGTATTGTTCTCTGTTTGTGCATTTGTATTGTTCTCTGTTTGTGCATTTGTATTGTTCTCTGTTTGTGCATTTGTATTGTTCTCTGTTTGTGCATTTGTATTGTTCTCTGTTTGTGCAATTGCAATGTTCTTTGTTTGCGCATTCGCATTTATACAGTTCAAGTGGAGCCCCTTTCTGCGGTTCAAGTTGAGCCCCTTTATGCAGTTTAAGTTGAGCCCCTTTATGCAGTTCAAGTTGAGCCCCTTTATGCAGTTCAAGTTGAGCCCCTTTATGCAGTTCAAGTTGAGCCCCTTTATGCAGTTCAAGTTGAGCCCCTTAATGCAGTTCAAGTTGAGCCCCTTTATGCAGTTCAAGTTGAGCCCCTTTATGCAGTTCAAGTTGGGCCTCTTTATGCAGTTCAAGTTGAGCCCCTTTATGCAATTCAAGTTGAGCCCCTTTATGCTATTCAAGTTGAGCCCCTTTACAGTTTCAAGTTGCAATGTTCTTTGTTTGCGTATTTGCAATGTTCTCTGTTTGCTCTGCGCATTACCTTGTGTCGGTCGAAGGTGAGAGCCAGGAGTGTTAGAACACTAGTTGTAACCGTCAAGTAGGAAGTGAAGTGATTCACTTTACAATACATACTTCCAAACTTCCAAACCCTAGACAAAAAACGTTTAGTTTACTTTACAATGCACACTTCCACACTCAAGATATATTAATATACAATATAAGCTCAAGTTAAAAGTCAACTGCACTGTACCTGCACATTTTGAATATCTATTCAGCTGAAAGTTTTATATTACTCTTTACAATCTTTAGAAGCACTTTATATGCAAATTTAGTTTCTTTTGGTAATAAATACTTCTTGTTTCGAGATAAAGATAAAAAACCCTTTTATTTAATTCAGTTTCTATGATTTTAATATGCCTACTCATTTCACTCATTCAGTGTTCAGTGAGTACCAGACGACTGTGTAATAAACTAGAACTGTCTTCCTATTCTGCAATTTTCTGCTTCTTAATGTATTATCAAAAATGAAAAGTACAGTACTGACAAATCCATGAGACCATTTTACTTAGCAATGGTATACTTTGAAATATTAGAGGTCTACCACGGGTTGCAAACATATAAGGAGCACTGTAAACTAGAGGTCCTGATGAATGAACAAATGAGTCTTATATTTGGAACCCATTTTCACTCAATAATGTAAACTTTTCGTATTTTTGCTCTCCACTTGTTTGTTGGGCTATAGTTTTTTATAATCACTAGAAATTCAAGGCGCTTTGCGCCCTTCTTTCTAGCAGCTCAGAGGGCGCTTCGCGCCCATCTTCTAAATTAATTGTTTACATGTTCCAGGGAACAGGAATAAAGGGAAAGGAAATGGCGCTGGTCCGGCAAGAGAAAGCCAGTCGCACTGCTTTGCAGACCAGTACAGTAAACTGACACACACTCTTCTGGTACAGACACACAACATGACTACAGTCAAGGAAATTGTAGAACAATGTCGTCGATTATAATTAAATTTGAATAACGAGTAGTTTATTGTAAACTTTAATAAAATTATATTCTTTGCATGCAAATTTGGCTTTATAGTGTTGACTTAAATATGTAAATAATATATTACATGTATATTTATAAACATATGTTTAAGTAAACAATTAACAATAAACAAATGTACTCTCCTAGACTGTACAAATTCCGAGATTCTTACGTACTGTATAAACCTACAGTACAAACCTTTGGTACAGTAAACTGACACACACTCTTTTGGTACAGACACACACACATGACAAACTTAAATATTAAAGAGGACGAACTAAATAGAGTATTCCAATAAACTTAAATATTGAAAGAGGATGAACAAAATGGTACGATTTTGAATTAAGCTGAACAAAGCTTGGATAAATGCTTAAACAATTTAAATTAAACGAGCCTTTTAACTATTTTTTCTCAACATTATAGGATATCTATATATAGTAAAACGAGACATTCGTACATATATATGTTGCCTATAGCCGGCCTAACGGCTGGACCGAATGGGCGGAATTTTTTTGTGGTCACTCATGGGTGGACGGTGTATAAAGACTAGAAAATTTTCAAAATTGGAATTTAAACGTTTATTTTCTTTGACTTTTGAAATATGAATTGAGTTCTTAAATATAAAACAAAGTGTTTATCAATCACAAGCGTTACTGTATAGATCATTAAAGCTTTAGCCTGTTTCTTGATCAGTCAAAGGTTTGAAGGGTACTGTTGTGAATCGGACATGCGGCCCTCCACAAATAAAGGCCGGGTCACGCATCATGATCATTTGAAAGGGCAGATGTGAGGAATAAAAAGTGAGGTTTGAAAAAAAAATAATTTTATTTTTTACCATAACCCGCTAGAACATAATGTTATATTCGTAAATCAATATTTCAATTTTCAAAAATGAATTCTCAATAAATCCTTTATCTTTCCAGTTCAGGTTAAGTGAGAATGAGAGTGTGATTTAAAACATTTAATATGCAGAAGACAGAGGATAGAAAGTGGGGGGGGAATAAACTTAAATATTAAAGAGGACGAACTAAATAGAGTATTCCAATAAACTTAAATATTAATTATATATAGAAGTTAGTCAAGGTAGGTAGAAAAGAATAAGAGGGGGAGGATAGAAGAACACATAATATTTATGTTCTCTCCGTTCAATATTTATTATTCATTCATCCTTTTCTACCCAACATAAACACAAATATTTAGTTACTTTTATATGTTATGATATTCAAGTACATCTAATGAACTCGAGGCAGTGCAGTATAAACAGACATAGCTCACTTCATAAGTGAATTAAAAACTTGTTAGTTAAGAAATTGCTGTTTAACAACATCAAATGCATTTCAGTACTGCTTCAACGTCGTCTCCTTTTTCTACAACTTTCTGGTTATCACTGTATAATTTGCATGAACTTAACATTGTAATTAGTATTTCCAATTACCATGTGGATAGAATTTACTACCAGAACATATTATATATATATATATATATATATATATATATATATATCATATTTTTATGTTTACCCGTCTCTCATGAAGATGAAGGAAGGTATACAGTTGAGGATTGACATACAGAGATCAGCTATCGCCAGGTTAACAAGGAAATAGTTTGTTACACTCCACATTCGTCGGTGAGCTGAACAAGTTAATTATTATTTTTAAATGTTACATTCTTTACGTGTTGCTCGGTTACTTTTAAAGCTTTACTTTGAAAAATTAATAAGCTTTTCTTCGAATCTTTTTGGTCAAAAATTTGTTCGTCATGTTTTTTTTCTAAAGCTTTGTTAATCGTTTTTGTTAGGAATATTGCATAATTTAAGCTAATTAGTGGAAATTTTTTCTTTCTTAAAAACAAATCAGATTATGAAATTAAATTTATCCCTCTAAGAACAAGGGAAAGTTTTTTTAAAATTAGGATGCAAAATATGAAATCTCTATAAATGAGTTTGGGGGAACCATAGTTGTAATAATTAAGTAATTACATTTGAACCGAAACACAATTTAAATAGAATTATTAATGTCGTCTACATTTTAATGTACTTAACTTAAATAAACGATTATGTTAGCAACCCTAGGAAGATGCAAAAAACGATTATGTTAGCAAAACTAGGAAGATGCAAAAACGATTATGTTAGCAAACCTAGGAAGATGCAAAAACAATTATGTTAGCAAAACTAGGAAGATGCAAAAACTATTATGTTAGCAAAACTAGGAAGATGCAAAAACAATTATGTTAGCAAACCTAGGAAGATGCAAAAAAAATCTTTTAATGTTATGCCTAGAGCGATCTTGTTATGAAAGATGAACTATGATGTTAGGATGCGATCGTGTTTGTATACCAAGGACGATCCATTTATCGATCATGCTTATGTACCTAGAACAATCCACAGAACGATCGTGTTGCCGAAGATACTGATTATCATGATGAGGGAGAATGCCAGGGTCCAGAGATGAGCCATTGTATCAGTCATACTCCCACCCCTACAATATATCAAGGAAATCAGACTTCAGGGAAGGTTTAGTTTCAAATCATCACAGGTACTAAATAGAATTCATATTTCAGGGGAGAATAGTTTCAAATCATCACAGGAACTAAATACAATTCATATTTCAGGGGAGAATAGTTTTCAATCATCACAGGAACTAAATACGAATCGTATTTCAGGTGAAAATAGTTTTCAATCATCACAGGAACTAAATACAATTCATATTTCAGGTGAAAATAGTTTTCAATCATCACAGGAACTAAATCCAATTCATATTTCAGGTGAAAATAGTTTTCAATCATCACAGGAACTAATTCCAAGTCAGACTTCAGGGGAGGATAGTTTTAGATCATCGTAATAAAATAAAATTCAAAAACGCCGGGCACTTCAGTTAGTTGTTTGATAATAAAGAAAAGAAAATGCCACTTAAAGAATAAATAAAAAGCTAGAATCGAAGATGAGCGCATAACGCCGGGGAATCCTAGTTTTTTAATATTTTAATTAGAAGTGTTGTATAAATTTTGTAATTTGTAGTTTAAGACTGCTAGGTGTCTTCTAACATGTTCAGACGTCATCACATTTTTAAATATCAAAATATTTTTTTAATTTTTATGGATTTAGGGGAGTTTTTTTTCAATACTTTAAATTGTACAGTTCCCCAAATTTTGTGAATTTATGTTCTGTTTTTTTTTATTATTTAATTGCAAAATTGCTTTAACATCCTGTTTTCATCAAGGCTTTTCTCCGAAAGTATCTATATTATTTTTGGTTGTTTTGAATTTAAAATGTACATTTATTATATAATCTTAGCAAGAAAATTATATAAACCAAATAAAATCTGAAATATATTCCTGAAAGTATAAAGAAAGCTCCTTGAAACAAATGAAAGCTGAAAGGTTTCCTGTAAAGGGTAGATAAGGTCTGTCAGTGCGGGTTATGGTATAATAAAATAGATTCTAAATTGAAAATGATCATTTGTCTGATTAGATAATTTCATTGGTTTTATTTGCCCTCTAGTCAATCCTTTCTCCGGGGAAAGGAAACATTTTAAAGGGGTAATCATCATTTCCTAGAAGAATTCCATTCTTTTTTTAGTACTTAAACTTTCTAGAGAGTCTACATCTTTCTTCAGAGTAATGCATCTTTCTGAGGAGTAATAGATAATTTTCTTAAAGTAACAAACCTTTCTATGGAGTAATAAACTCTTTTTCTTAAAGTTTATTTCTAAGGAGTAATAAACTCAAATCTTATTCTTAGAGTAAAAAACCTTATTAAAAAGTAATAAATTCTTTTCTTTTTCATAATCGTTTTAAGAACCATGCATGTAATTATAATGGCAGATTGACAAATAAATTTCGCAAATTTCCCACAGAGGATGAGACTGTAAAGACGACCCAAAAATCAAAAAATATGACGATTTGAAGCTTGACTTTTGGTCTGTGCATTCAATTGAGTATTTTGATGGTTTTAAAACCAGTTCAGGCCAATAGATAGATAATAGATCAAGTACAATAGGTGGCAACAGAGAAATTAACCAATTATACACGACGTCCCAAGTGTCAAATATAACAAGGAAAGCGAAATTTTCTCACATTAGTTGACATGTTTTCCAAGATTAAATAAAAAAGTGTAAAAACAGAAACTAAAGAACACATAAAATTGCACTTATTTTATTGTAAGAAAAGCACTTTATTCTAAAATTATCACTATTATTGATGAATTTGTCGGACACAAAAACTGAATTGACACTTGTGACGACAGAATACAACTGTACTGAGAGCGTACAAATTCTACGTTGCCATCTATTGTACTAGAATCTATTTGGTTTAGGCTAACAAGGAACCCTGTGTTCGAATTTAATGAATTTGAGCCGCGTCTTAAATCCGCCAAAAACCGGTTTCAATTGAGTGCCGGCTTAAATCTTGAAATAATGAATACAATTTTAAGTGGAACCAACCATTTTTGAGCCGCGGATCAAATTCTTTAAATGCGGCCTCAGAATGTAAGAAAACGGAATAAACAAATTCCGTACAATCATCTCTGAACAGAAGCCTATGTTAACCCTAGGATATACCCATGGATTTCCATAACAGATTTCAGCCATTTTAGTCAAGACGTTTGGTCAGCTATAGCACTCATATATATAAGTGTTGTTCAAAAAATTTTGACTATACCAAGGATCGCCATGAGACTAGAAACATATGTTTATTATAGCATAATTATTTTTAATAAATTATGAAGTTTAAAAACTTAAAGAAGAGGTAATTATTACAGAATATAGATTTATATGTATCTACAAGCTGTTTACCTTTTAGTTGAATTAGCTGACAAGTTGAGTCCTGGTAAGTTAATGGAGGAGGTAATGTTTATTCCTTCATCGAGAAAGTAGGAGCTATTGTTAGACTCCCAATCTCCGTCCGACCAACCAGCCTTCGACCAACCTGCCTCCGACCAACCTGCCTCCGAAAAATTCATTTTATCTGACTTTTCTGTTCGTCCGAATGGGTCAGATTATTTACCGTTTTCTGAAAAAAAATATCTAAAGTTTAAAAAGTGAAATATCTGCGGCGAGACGCATTACAAAGTGGACTAGGAAGACGACATTAAAACAATTTTTTTATGATTGATGCTAATTTAAAGCAGATAGTTTAACCAGTCGCTAAAAAATTAACTCAATATCTGAAATGGGTTGCTGTGCAGTGTGCATTGAACATTTGATGTGTTTCATTTGGATTTTATTATACTAGGTTTTTAGGGCCCATCTTCTATTTCAACTTTTTAATTGTACAGTATAAAAATATTTTTTAAAAGTTCACGGATTTTATAAATTTTTTTTTGGCATTTTCAAAATTTTACAAAAATAAAAAACTTTTAAACACAAATTTTAAAACTTTAATCATTCATAAACTTTCCATGGAGTCACGTGATGTCCTCTATAATCTCTTTTATAGAGCAAAGATAAAACTATTTTATTCCCTAGAAATAAATGTTCAAATTTGAATGTAAATGTTAACACTATCAAAGTAAATCAATGCACATGGAAAGGGTATCGATTTTGTAGATCATTAAATTAAAAGGGCCCACGGTAGATATCGAGATCAAGGGATCGGGATCATGAGTCTTATGAATCTTACTCTTTAATCGCTTTTCAAGATCAAGGGATCGGGATAATGAGTCTTATGAATCTTACTCTATAATCTCTTTTCGAGATCAAGGGATCTGGATCATGAGTCTTATGAATCTTACTCTATAATCTCTTTTCGAGACCAAGGGATCGGGATCATGAGTCTTATGATCTTACTCTATAATCTCTTTTCGAGACCAAGGGATCGGGATTAGGAGTCTTATGAATCTTACTCTATAATCTCTTTTCAAGATCAAGGGATCAGGATCATGAGTCTTATGAATCTTACTCTATAATCTCTTTTCGAGACCAAGGGCGATTATAAGTATCTAACACAAAAGTTATCAGAAAATCCTTCATGGACATGATCATGTGGATAAAAACAAATGGTTTACCTCAGCCTATGTACCTGGGGAAAATGAAAGACAAACCAGAATGTCAAGTGATCCTTTGAATCTGAAGTTACCTGTTGTGCACACCGAAATACAAAGAAACTTTTTTAGTGCAATATGCATCAATAAGTGGAATGATATACCATATGAAATCAAAAGTGCTGGAAACCTGAACATTTTCAAAAACAAGCTCGATAACTGGCTGAATTCCTGAACGGCCAATGAAGTCGGAAAAGAGAGGTAATAAATTATCACACCCGTGATATAAAAACATAATCACACCAATTAAACCAATTAAGCTCAGCTGGGGATATTTAAATCATAAACCCAACAGAAAATAGATCAAATTTACATCCAAATATACGGGTTTTAGGATATGATAATTTTAGATTAAAAAAAGGCCATCTGCGAGGCGTAAAGTATTTCTCAACCAGCTTGTTTAACTTTGGGAGCGGGGTACGGGGGAGCCGGGGGAGGGGGGAACTGTTCTGAAGTGTCATTTCTTTTTAAAGTCATTATTGCATTCCTAATTAGTGTGCAGAGGATAAGAACCATAGAGAATAGAATATATAGAGAGGAATTAAAAGAATCTCTCGGTATGAATTTTTTCAATCCCTTTCAGCCTGAAAGGGAGTTCAAAGTGTACAAATCATGTAAATGTTCACAAATTATATGCAGTAGAGTACATTAATACAGTATGTTCCCTAGACTATTCATTTCAATTTCGAATTTTTTAAACTGTTAAATAAACTTTATAATGAATTAGGTGAATAAAAAACATCATTTGATTTATAGTTATAACGGAAAATCATCGTTTGTAAAGTGGAAGGCATAGAGTCTATGTGAAATGATCATTGGTCAATTATAAAACCAGCCTATTTCATAATTTGATTTTCTTTTAACAATAATTTTAGATTTTCTATAAAATGATATTCCAGGGCCCAACAGGTTATAAAGCATAAATATGTGAAGTGCACCTGCAGTATGGAAACAGTACAACAAAATGGCCGTTTTACACTTTTTTCTAGTAAATTCCTCTCTATATATTCTATTCTCTATGATAAGAACCCAAAAGAATGATCTCAACATAATTAGATTGTCAGGTCAGGTCAGGTTAGACATTTTCACAAACTTTTAAATTTGTAATTTAAGAAAAATGTAAATAAAATTAATAGAGGGGATATTTATTAAAGGAAGAGAGATAAATGATACAAAATGGAATAAGAAAAAAAGGGAAAAAAGGAAAGAATGTTAAAAAGAATGATAAGAAGAGAAAAGAAAGAAAAAAAAGAAAGAAAAAAGAGCGGAAGATGGGAAAAAGGAATAGGATAAAAAAGAAAATCTATATTAAAATAAGAATAGATTATGAATAATGGAAAATAAAAATGAACGCAAGTTTGAAGAGAACAGAAGAGTTTAGGTCTACAAGAAGATTCGTCTTTTGTATGACTGCAGAGGTATCATATGCTCATGATTATATTAAAACAAACATATATTAAAAATTATAAGACTAAATTTTGTGGCCATACAATCTTGTTATTGCATTAAAGGGAGAGGCTGGCTAGGTATGTCAGTAGAACTGAACAGTATCTATATATTTATATATCTTGTTATTGCATTAAAGGGAGAGGCTGGCTAGGTATGTCAGTAGAACTGAACAGTATCTATATATTTATATATCTTGTTATTGTATTAAAGGGAGAGGCTGGCTAGGTATGTCAGTAGAACTGAACAGTAGCTATATATTTATATATCTTGGAATTTTAGTTGTTCAAAGAATTTTGACTACTGAGGATCGTCATGCAACGTGAAACATTATGTTTAGTATTTCTCTTTTGTAATGTGAAGTGAACATGTGAAGTTTAAAAACTGAAATATATATATATAATCAATTTATTATTGAATCAAAAAAGACAGATAAACATCCGCATTCATGATATATATACTTTTGTGTAGCCCTAGACAGATTTATTCAAAATTGTATTGCGTTTTTTTCGAGCTTAAAGTTGAAAGAAGTAATTGTCAAAATCTGTGAGATATTGCACTTGCACATCTTCGTTTGCAGTGAATCACCACTATAAGCAAGTAACTCCCTTTAAGTAATTGCATATTTAACATACCCATAACAAATAAAAACACCACGGGGGTGGGGGGAGAAAAAATAATTCCCGCATTTTGTACTAAATCGGCTCATCAGTTTCGGCGTTTATTTGGTAAAAAATGTGGACCAAGTGACCACACATTTAAATAAATGTCATTCATTCATTTAAAGCAATGCACAACTTTTTCAATTCGGATTTAGAAATGAGGTCTGAGCTGAAAACTGTAAAATTGGATATTCTTAATCCCGATCGGTTAATTAATCTGGAGATTAATTACAAGAGGAGAACAAGCAATATTTAATCTGGAGATTAAGTAAAAGAGGAGATCAAGCATTGATCTCGATATCCACCTTTCTAAAATTTTCAGCTCTGGACAAATTGTTAAATTCTCTTTATCAAATACAACCACGCACATCGGAGATTTTTATCAAATGTTTGAACGGATATTACATTTGTTTCATGATACAATAATGAAATAATGATAAAAGCTTCAATAATGAATCATTTATTGCCTCTTCAAGACCTGAAAACATTTTCTTTCTTAAGATCTTGTCAAATAATTAATTTATATATTTTTCTACTATATTTAGATTGTTTTGATCAATAATGGGGTTTTTAGGGCGATCACAACTTCTTCCAGGGGGTGCTTCTAATGCACCCCATTTGATAAACCTCAAATACGTTCAAAAATCTTGAGTCTTGTTCAAGACAAGCGCATTCAAAGATTTCGAAACTCAATATTTAGGGCTTATCCAAAATATAGGTCGAATTCGTAGAAAAGAAATTCCGAAGTTTGGTGAAAAAACCCGCATATTTATTAGAGACCCATGGTTACCTGACCATAGAGAGAGCATAACTACACGTTAGCCCGGAGCAAAGGTTTAGAGACACCGGAGAACCCGGAGAGAGAAAGAGGCTGGTTGAATAAAACGAGTCAGGACGGAGAAATAGAACCAGGATTGATATGAGAGTAAATGAGAAAGATTGGAACGAACAGAAAAAAAAGAGAGAAAGGATAGAGAAGGAGCTAGGACAGAGAAAAGAGAGAAAGGATAGAGAAGGAGCTAGGACAGAGAAAAGAGAGAAAGGATAGAGAACGAGCTAGGAATGAAAAAGTATAGAATAAACAAATCTGTAAGGTAAAAGATTGTTGAATTAAAGACAAAAAGACGTTTGATTTCAAATAGAAGAAACCGAATGCTGCACACTCTGGTTAATCCGGGGTGAGCTAAGAAAGGTCTGACAAGTAAAACCTGCAGATCGGAGAAACGAAATAAGATAGAAATGGTGAAAGGGCGGAGAAATAAACCTATAAGAGCTATGTTACAGACGGAGATGAGGTACAGAAGAAGCTAGGACGAAGAAAAAAAATGGTTATAGAAGGTTTTAGGACAGATTAGGGAGAAGAGAGCTATGATGAGAAATTAGGACGGAGTAATAAAACCTGGAAAAAAGAGGTAAAAAAAGGAATTAGGAAAGCGAAGAAATACAAGATAAAAACGGAGACATAAAGCTTGGGAGAGAAAAGGAAACTAGAATATAGAAGAAAATAGGATACAGGCGGAGATTTGATACAGAAAGGGTATACCAGGAGATATGATACAGAAATAGATTTAAAGAATTAGATAGAATAAAGATGTAGATAGGATACAGATGTAGATAGGATACAGATGTAGATAGGATACAGATGTAGATAGGATACAGATGTAGATAGGATACAGATGTAGATAGGATACAGATATTGATAGGATACAGATGTAGATAGGATATAGATGTAGATAGGATACAGATGTAGATAGGATACAGAAGTAGATAGGATATAGACGGATATAGGATACAGAAGTAGTCAAGTAGATAGAATACAGGAGGAGATAGGGAAAAGAAAGAAAAAGTTCTATGGATGAATAGTTTTTA